GTGCCTTTGGCTACATTCACGGCCCCAGTGACCCCAGCGGCCATGGTGTCCTTGGTTCCTGTTAGCACTGTCTTGGTGGTGTCCAGGCCGGTCTGTACTGTGCCTTTGGCCATGTTCATGGCCCCAGTGACACCGGCAGCCACAGTGTCCTTGGTTCCGGTCAGCACGGTCTTGGTGGTGTCCAGTCCTCCCTGGGCGACCCCTTTGGCCACATTTGCTGCCCCTGTCACCCCACTGTAGACACTTTCCTTGGTGCCAGAGAGCACAGCCTGGCCTGTGTTCAGACCTCCCTGGACCACACCCTTAGCGGTGTCCACCAGGTTGCCCACCCCAGAGGAGAAGGCATCCTTTGTCCTGGTCACCTGAGAACACACCAGGTCCTTCGCTCCAGACAGCATCTGAGAAAGGACATTGGTGATCAGGATGGGCGCTGGGGGACCACCCACCCTGACAACCCAATTTCACCCCAGTGCCTCAATTCTTTGTGAGCCTCATTTTCAACAGATGTTCCTCTACCAAACTGTGGGTCCTACCCGGCTTCCAGAACCTGATTTTCATGACCTCAGCCTCACAGAATGCAAATGACCATGTTCTCTCAGGACCCCCAAACTGAGGCCCCCCTATTGGAGCACTATGGTTACTGCTTGACTGAAACCCAAGACAGAGCCCCTTGTGCCCCCTCGGCTCCATGGTGCCCCCCGCCCCTGGCATTGCTGTATTGTAACACAACAGGCCTCTTTGGTGCTTCCCTGGGGGGCTTTGGACTCTCAGCGTTTTTGCTTATGTATCGGGCTGCTGGCCAAAAGTCGGGGGCTTGAACCCGCTAGCAGTACTGTGGGAGCAGGAGGAGGCAGCTCCTGGAGCGATTGACAGCCCTGGGAAGCCACTGGAGGTGTTCCGTGGGTCAGAATCCACTCCAGGGCGGTGGGATTAGGGATTTGGGTTAGGAGCAGACAGGCTGAATAAAAAGAGGGGGACAGTGTGATATTTTGTTTTGCAAATCTATCCATCCTGATACGGCCTTGAGGAAGAAAGGGACGTGGGTCGTTCTAAACCAGGAGGTGGCACTTAATGGCGACTTAACCTGAGCCAAACCAGGTCAGCCAGTTCACCCTGTCGCATGGTGACACGGCAGCGTCCTGGAACCTTCGGGGGTCCCCGAGCTCTGGCCTAGCAGTGAGGAATCGCACCGCCCATGGAAAGACGCACGGTGGAAGGTAGGCACTCATTCAGTGCTAGGGCGATTTCCAGCTGCTGAGAACCCGCTGGAGGGTCAGCTATGAATTGGTCCTCACTCGATGGTCCACAACCACAACAGCAGCGGTTACACCATAGGCTTTACAGAAAAGGTCTTCTCAGGCACCTCTGCGTGGATTTGAACATCCCACCTTCCAGTTAACAGCTCGGCTCTCCCCAGCCAGGGGCTCCACTGGACTCTAGTTGCTGGCTCTGATTCACAGTGAGTGTACACAAGTGGGTGAAATGCTGCCCCTTCCTCTGCCCTCAGGGGCCGCTGTGAGCTGTAAGATTTTAACTGGCTCGTTTTCAGAAGTCAATCACCAGGCCTTTCCTCCTAGTCTGTCTGAATCTAGAAGCTCTGTGGAAACCTGTTTGGTATCCAGTAACACAACAGACCTTGAATGACAGATGGGCAGGCGCTGTGCAAAAGTTGTAGTAACCTGGAATGGAACCGGGGTTTCTTGCATAGAAGGTGTGGATTCTACTGTGAAACTAAGACTGTCTCCAGGACTTTACCTCTTCTAGCAGACCTTCCAGACTAAGCTGGGCCCAGATCACAAAGCAAATGAATTCTTTATTCACATTCACATGCATTTTGCAATGTGGTAGACGAGGAAGAAAGGCCTGGCTATCTACTGAAAATTAGTCTATGAAAACCCCAAGGACCACAGCCATCTATCCATAGCCAACCGCAGGGAGGAAGCAGGCTTGGGAAGTGTTTCCTTCCCTTGTGCGTGGAGCTCTTGGGCCAGAGAGCTGACTCCACAGCGGCATGGAGCCGGGGAACCCTGTGCGGACTGCAGGCTGGGGGGACCTAAGGCAGTGTTGTACCCATTTTACAGATATGGACATGGAGGCCCAGAGGGAAGCGATCTGCCTAGAATAGGAGGGTGTCTGTCTCTTCCTCGCTGGCCCTCATCACCAGGGAGGGGCCTTCTTCACATGGGGGACACCATGAGACCAGGCCCTGTGGGACCCTCTCACCTCTGGAGGCTGTGTTCCTCCGGCCGTCTTCTCCGGGTGGGTGGCCGCTGCAGAGACAGGTCAGGGAGGGAAGGCGTGGAGGATGAAGGCAGTGCCTGTTGTGTAACCACGGGCACAGCCCAAAAGGTCAGGAATGTCCCCACAGCCACGCCAGGGACAGTAGGAGGTGGCATCCACAGCCAGCGGTGTCCCTGGAGTCAGGATCCTGGGGCTCCACAGGCACCCTCTTCTTCCCCGGCACTGTTTCTCCCTTCCGGCTGGGTCTTGGTGACAGTCACCCAGTGGGCTGAGGTGAGGGGGCTGCCAGTGCCCTCTGGGCCACCCTGCCTGGCCATCCTCGCTCCTGCCCACCACCCCACCCTGCCCCCACCACAGCTGCCAGCTGCCTGTCGCCAAGGTATGTTGAGCAGGAGTCAGCTGCCTAGGCAGGGCTGCAGGCCCAGACCGCACTGCCCAGCCTCCTCTAGGCGGTCCACCGGCCCCCAGAAGGACCTGCAGACGCCCAGCCCAGGGCCCTTCGGGCTCTGAGATGCCCTCATCTCCCAGATGCTAAGGGCACCTGTGAGCCACTGAGGGTTCTAGAGGGAGGGTGGGCCAAGGAGTCTAGGGAAGAGCAGCTTGGCTTGTATGGAGCTCACTGGCCGGCGTGTCCTCTGCTATGACCCCAGGGAAGACGCTGACCCTCTCGGGGAACTAGGGGAGCAGTCCTTGATGAGTTCAAGCACTCCCCGCACCTGGCCCCAGGTGCACATCATGAACAGACAGGTGGGAGGCGGATGAGGGAGTGGAGGTACATTGCAGGGCAACTGAACTGGGCTCGAACCCCTGCTTTGCCACTAAGTGGTCATGCTGCCTTGGGAGACAACCCCCCACTCCTATGCCTCAGTTTCCCTCCGTGAGGCCAGCCTAGTAGGGTTTGCTCATCCTTCACTCTGGGTGGAAGCCTCCACTAGGATCTCCTTTTCTAGGGGCTCTACCCTCAGACACCCCACGTGAAGCTGTCCACTCACCCTGAGCCTGGGGCAGGGCAGCCCCAGCGCCTGTGCCTGACCGGGCCTCCTTTGTCGAGGACAGCAAGTTCCGGGCGGAACTGAAGCCAGGCAGGGACCCCAGGAAGCTGCTCAAGGTCTGGGGGTGGGGGTGAGGGAGGACAAGGTGAGGGAGATGATGCAGCAGGGAAGGAGGTGGACAAAGGCCCTGTTCAAATGCGGCCCCTGCTCCCTGCATGACCTCAGAGCCACTCTGGACCTCAGTTTCCTCATCTGGGTAATGGGTTGAGAGGGTGAAACAGCTCAGCCTACAGGGTCCCCAGACAGTCTCCTTCCACACTCCCACTTCTCAGATGGGGAGACAGGCTCAGAGAGGGCTGTGGTCTGTGATTTGTCACAAAGTGGGCCTCTGTCCCCCAACCCCAGTGTGGTCAAGCAGGAAGAGTTGGCATTATGGCTCCCAGAGCCCCCCAGGACTATGGAGTCACCTTCTGGGGGCTCTGGTGGGAGGGCCAAGGAGCTGCAGGGGTTCCCCCAGCTCACCTTGCCCTTGGACTTGGGGGGATCCCGGCTCCCTTCATCTTGCGCAGACATGGTGGGACTAGAAGCAGCTGGGAGTGGGTAGAGGTGTGAGGACAGGGGCCCTTGGCCCCCTGCCCAACACCCCCCACTCTCTCGGTCTCCCACCGCCCACTGGCCGGGGCTCACCCGGGCTGCAGGAGGGTCCTTGGAGCGGCGAACGTCCCGGCTGGCGGCTGCTGCTCTCGCTCCAGGCCTTATAGGGTCTGAGGCGGGTGCGGACGGGTGGAGGCAGGCGGCCAGCAGGGAGGGGGAGTGGGGGGGGCGGTCACGTGCCTGCCGGCCCGCCCGGGCCCCAGCCCAGCACCTTTGCCCTGCTCACTGCCCACGGCGCCCGCCCCCACCCCAGCCTAGGGGACTCACGCCACCTGGGCTGCCCGTGCTACCCCGCCCTTGCCCCATTCCCATCCTGCTCTGCTGGACATCTCCACACCTAACCTGCTCTGTGCCTCGGTTTCCCCTTCTAGACTCTTCCCCGCGGCCCACTGCATTCTGCACCCTGCTGCCACCTCTTTGCAGGGCTGTCTCCTCCTTTCAGTAGCACTAGTTCTGCCCCGGGAACTTTGCACAGGCTGCTCCCTCTGCCTGGAATACCCTTCCCCAGGCGTCCCCAGGGTGCCCTCTCCCCTCCTCTGGATCTGTTTGTGCCCTGCTGTGTCCCAGTACCCATAACAGCACGTAAGAGAGGGCCAGCTACAGGGTTGTGAACCCGGAATGGGGTCACGCATGTAACCTGTTCACAGTTAGCATTGTCCACGCAGAGAGGAAGTCTCTGAGGGGGTCGGAGCTGTTCTGAGGAGAAAGGGGGCGTTCCATTCTCCAAAGGTGTGACATGCAGACCTGCCAGGGCTCAGACAGCACTGAGGGTGACGGGAGAGGTTGATCTGAATAGTGCCAGCTAGAACCAACCCTGAGAGGCTCCCAGGAGGAAGCAAATTGTAGGCAAAGCTTAGACTCAATCCAGAGTTTACCCACAGGAAGTGCCAGCACCAGGATTTGAACGCAGACCTGGACCAGTGTCCTGGATGCCGAGGGCGGGAAAGCAGAGGATTTCTGGCCCCTCCTTGTGTTCGGTTCTGGCTCTCCTGCCCTTGGGAACTCAACATGGGCATTTGGGGGCTGTGTGTGGCTTTAGACACCAAGCGGGGTGGGGGGAGGAGGGTCCAGCCAGCCGACATGCTGACCCCAGGCCATCTCCTTGGAGCCAGTGCTGTGTTTACCAAATAGTCAGGGAACAGAAGGAGGGTGTCCCCAACTCTGTCCTCCAGGCCAGAGTGTCCCAAGAGGGATGGGGAAAGCTGGCTATATGCCTCCCTGTCTCACAGCACAGCATGGTATAAGGAGCCGACAAGAAGAAAATAATAAAGAAGAATAAATGATAAATAATAATAAAGAAAAGCCTGCCCCTCTTCTGCCCACAGCCCTCCAGGGCTTGCCCCTCCTTTGGGTAAAAGCCAGAGCCCCTTTGCCCCCTGCCCCATCCCCTCCCTGCTCTCCTCTCCTCCTCTTTCCCTCCCTCCCTCCACTCCAGCCCTGCTCTTCCTCCAACTTGCCAGGCTGGTCCTGCCCCAGGGCCTTTGCACAGGCTATTTCCTCAGCCTGACATGTCTTTCCTCCACATTCCTCACCTCCTTAGGCGACTTTTGTTCCTGTGTCACTTCCTGGACTCCTCCGTGTGGAACAGCTCACCTGGGCTCCGAACCCACACCCCCAGCCCTTACTGCTTGTCATTTCCTCATCTTCTAACACTCACTCAGCATCTTCTGCTTGCTCTTGCTTCTTGCTCCGCTTCTCCTCATTGTCAAGGTCTTTATCTGCTCTGCTTGTGCCTGTATCCCCAGGACCCAGGGCCCTTACTGGCTCACAGCAAGTGCTCGGGAGATACGTGTTGGATGAATAACTGAATATCAGCTTCCCGGGTGCAGCTTTCCACTAGAATTGGGCACGACTGCCTGTTATTTTCACCCTCACTTCACAGAAGAGAAACTTGGGGTTCAGAAAGGACATACAGAAGCCACATTCCCTCCCATCTTGAAGGCAAGGCTGAGGCTCAATCCAGTGCCTTCACAACCTCTCTTCCCCAAATCCCGGCACTTAACCCATCCCCTTCCCTTCTCTGTTCCAGGTAGACCAGCCCTCCTTGTTAAGGCTTTGCCTGGGCTGGTCCAGCTGTTTGCTCATCTCAACTGTCACTTTCTCCCACCTCCTCAGGCCTGGCCCTCTAGGTGTCCCCAGTTTCGCGGGGGAATTGAAGGCAGGGTGTTGGCATGCTGCAACAGAACAGGCTCCAGGCCCTAGCAAGCAAGCTCTGTCTGACAGGGCAAAGGAGGGAACTGGCATGGTGGGGTGGTATCAGGGAAGACTTCCTGGAGGAGGAGACATTGAGCTGGGGTGGGGACAGCAGGGATTGCTGGGTAAAGGCGCAGAGGAGGGGCTCCCTGACCAGCTTGGTTTCTAGGAAGGTTGGAGATTGAAGTCCACCAGTGCCCGGGGAGGTGCTGGGACTTTCCGTCTGAGACTGGAGCAGGGGATGGACAGGAGGTGGCTGGGACGTCCACTGCCATCCTCTGGACCAGGTCCCAGGAAGCCACGGGTCACCTCGTCCTCCCTTCCCCTGACTGTGGTTCCCCAATCATAGGCTGATGCCATCCAGGAACGTGGTCAGAGGGCAGGGTCCCCAGGAGACCGTCTGTGGCCCTTGGCCTGTCTCGGTCTCCTCTGGCCCGCCTGGCACAGATAGAGAGGCCGCAGCAGGATAGCCTCCCACAGGTCTAGAAGTAGACGAGGGGCTGCCCTGCTGACTGCGCCCTTTGCTTGCCCTCACTCCCTGTGGGCCTCCAGACAAAACTCGTACTAAAGTGGGAACAGCTGCCTCAGAGCTGTAGCTGAGAGGCCAACCCAGGTGGGGTCTGGGCAGGGAGGCCAGCAAGGCAGGGATGGAAGGTTTCTTTTACCTTTGACCCTTGACTTGGATGAAGCCCCACCCCTTCTGTCACACACCCAGGATGCCCCCTCCCCTGAGGCCCAGGACTGAGAAGCACCCTGGCCAGAATAAAGACCACAGACCTGCAAACAACACAAAGCATCTTTATTCTGGGCATCGACCCTATGAGTGAAGCAAGCAAGTCTGCCAGGTAGAACTAGTACAAGTAGGGTGTCAGGGGCCCCCAAAGTCCAGAAAACATGGGGTGGGAAAAGGGGAGGTCTCCCTTTACAGAACCCCAAAGAGAAGAAGATTTGTGTGTCTTCAAGATGCATTTTGAGCAGCTTCTTGGGATGGGGAAATGGGGCCAGAGACAGACAAAGAGCTAGGCTTTGGGCTGAAGTTGCATCTGGCCTCAGTTCGAGCCTGGCTTCCCTCTGGACCTCAGGGTCCTCATCTGTCCAAGCAGGAGCTCAAGTATCAGGGAGGCTCGTCTGCTGTTATTCACTGGGGGCCAGCTAGTCGAATCTTAGCCCCAGCCACCATGCGGCAGCACAGAACTGCCCCACAGGGACTCTTGGGCGGCCATGTGTGCAGGAACCCTGGTGGCGCAGTGTGACATTTGGTGCTGGGCTGACAACAGAAAAGTCGCAGTTTGAAGCCCCCTGGAGCTCCAGGAGGAAAAGGCGGGCTGTGTGCTCTGGTGAGGAAGGTTGCTGAGTTAGAAATCATTGGATGACAGGTACGTTGAAAAAAAATCTCTACAGGAGCAGATGGCCAGGTGTTTCTTCCTCACAGCATTCGGTTCAAACTACCAACTTGTACGCTTAACCCCTGCGTCACCAGGGTCCCTTAAAGCTGGTCTGTTACTGTGTGCTATCAAGTCCGCGGGTTTTCAGAGGCAGTAAATCGCACGGGAGGAGATCGCCCATCTTTCTCCCACAGAGCAGCTGATGGGTTCGAACTGCGTGCCTTTGCCTTGGCGGCGCAACTCTGTTAACTGCTAAGCCACCAGGGCGCCCTTGAAGCTGGTCTAGGACTCTGAATGCAGCCCCCACCCGGCCGCTGTAGACCAAGGTCAAGATCGCTTGCGCGCGGCCGCCACAAGGGGGCAGCAGAGAGCGGGCGGGGAGGGCGGCGCGCCACCGTCTGCGTCCCCGGCCTGCTCGCGTCCGCTCAGAAGTCCAGCTCGGGCATGAGCGTGTGTCTGACCGGGCGGCTGGGGGACTCGGCCTCCTCCTCCGCGACGCCCCCCTGGCTCCCCGGGCCGTCCCCGTGCTCGGCCTGCCATGCCCTCTGCTGTGCCGGCCAGTCCAGGTGCGCCCAGCGCGGGTCCCGGCCCCCGACCACCTCGTCGACCAGCACCTCCAGGTCGGCGGGGGGCTCGGGCCGCTCCACGAGGACGGGCGCGAAGGGCCCCACGAGCCAGGGCAGCGGCACGGCCTGCAGCACCAGCTCCAGCAGCTCGTCCACGCAGTCGTGCGCGCGCGCCATGCGGCCCCGCCCCTCGGCCAGCGCGGCGGCGGGCACGTCCCCGAAGCAGCGCGCGTCGGCGAAGGCGGCCTGCAGGGCGTCCACGCTGCGCCGCACCTCGGCCACCTTGTCCTGCGCGCTGGGCGGCAGGCCCCGCACGCTCGTCTGCAGCGCGTCCGCCGCGCCCTGCAGCTCCCACATCAGGCTGCGCGACAGCGCCAGCGTCTCCAGCTCCACCTGCGGGGACAGCGCCCTGCCTCGGGGCCCCGGTGCGCGCGCCCTCGCGCCACCGCGAGCCTCATTCTCCCCCCTGGCCACCCAACGCGACGGAGCCCCCGGCTGTGCTTTCCCTGTGAACACCCAGGGATCGCCACTCTCCCCTCGGACATCCAACAGGACCCGAGCCCTCCCTCAGTTCCCCAGTGGACACAATGAGGCTGTCGCCCACCTCGGTTTGTCCTCGTCCACCCAGTGAAGGGACCGTCACCCTGCCTGTTTTCCCTCACCTGGCTCCGGCGCCGGCCATTCTCTGGAGAATGCTGGTTCCAGTCTCCCCAGAGCCGATGCACTTTCCCGGGGTGGGCGGGGACGATAGGGCTGGCCCCACCCTGCATGAGGTCAATCTGTGGGGACCAGGTAGCAGGCATCAGCACCGGGATGTGTGTGTGTGTGTCACCAGGACAGAACCTCCCTGGACATGGGTGTGTGTGTGGGGGTGGGGTGGGGGGGGTAACCAGGAGAGAGTCTCCCTGGACCTGGGTGTGTGTGTCACCAGGACAGAACCTCCCTGGACATGGGTGTGTGTGTGGGGGTGGGGTGGGGGGGGTAACCAGGAGAGAGTCTCCCTGGACCTGGGTGTGTGTGTCACCAGGACAGAACCTCCCTGGACCTGGCCTCTAAGCAATCACTGAGCTCCTCCTGTATGCCTCCTCCAGCTCTGGCTCGTCCACCAGCCAGCCTGCTCCCCTCTCTTTCCTCTCCCCTCGGATCCAGCGATCTGCGGTTCTCTCAACTTCTGCCTTACTGTCCAACCTTTGCCTATGCAGGTCCCTTCGCTTGTTACACGCTCCTTTCCACCCATGCACTGCCAACTCCTTCCAATTCAACTCTCAAGTTGCCACGTCCTCCAGGAAGCCTTCTCCTCTTCCTTCCCTCTTCTGGGCCCCCCAACACTTGGTGTGTCCCCATCACAGTCTTGACTGTCCTGCTTATAGCCTGGCCCCAGAGAGCACCCTAGCAAGTGAAAGAAGTCAGAATGGAGGATGCTGGAAGTACCTGGGCCTCAGTTTTCCCTACCTGTAAAAAGCACCCCTGTAGGAGACACAGAGGGGATCGGAGACGACACCGTTACATGTAAAGCGTGTGCTGTGCTGAGTCCCTGAACGTGCGTTTATGGAGCGTTTATTGTCAGGCAGGTGCTCTGACAGGACAGCCACTGCCTGGAAGGGAGCTTGCATGCAGTAGGTGCTTGATAAATGCTTGTTGAATGATTGAGTAGGCAAGATCCCTGGAGGGAGATTCACTGAATGAGTAAATGACAACATGGATGGCATGATGAGTAGATGAAACATGCAATGAGAAAGAAAAGTATTTCAGGAGGAGGACAGAGCCTGTGCAAAGGCTCTGGGGCAGAACCCACCAGTTGAAGGAACAGCCAGGAATGAATGAAGGGCACAGAGGAGGAGGGAAGGAGAGGTAGTGGGTGAGGCTGGTCATACCAGACCTGTGGGTCTTGGAGAGGACTTGGGCTACGAGGGCCCTGGAGTGCTGTGGACAGAGAAGAGACTAGCCTGACTCAGGTGCTCACAGGCGCCCTCTGGCTGCTGAGAGGAGAACAGACTGAGAGCTCCAGGGCGGGAAGTGACTGCATGTGTCCAGGGTGTGAGTTGGCTGGACCAGGTGGAGTTGGTGTAGGGGGGAATGAACATGTGTGGATAGATTGTGAGAGCAGAGCTGACTGTCCTGGATGTAGGAGGGGTGGAGGAAGAGAGGAATCAAGCAAAGACCCCAGGCTTGGGGCTGAGCACCTGGAAGGTGCCCTTGGCTAAGTGGGGGAGGTAGGTGCTAGCTAGAGGAGTAGGTTTGGGGGCATCTGAACTTAGTAAACAAGTGCTGTTCATTTTCCTGGGGAGATGGGAGGGATGGAGCTGACAACTGAGGGAGGGCAGGATGCAGAAGAGGTCGGCTTTCTCTCTTAATCCTTTGACTGGAGATAAGCTCCCAGGAACTGCTGGCCTGACCACCCCAGTCCCAGGCTGATCCTCAGATCCCCGGGGCCCGGAGCCCTGGGCACTCCGCCCTAGCCGTCAGCATCTCTGGGTGGATGCAGGGCCCATAGTCAGTGCTTATGGGCCCACGTCAGAGGCCAGGAGTGAGAGGAGGGGGCCAGCATGGGCAGGGCTATCATGGGCGGTGCCTCTCACCAGCTCCAGCGTCTCCTGCAGCTCAGCCAGCGTGTCCTGGGTACGGTGCTTGCTCTGCCTCAGTTTCCCCAGAGAATGCTCGTATGCCAGCTGGCGGAGTCGAGCCGACAGGGAGCCCAGACGCACAAAGTAGCCCTGATGCTTCCTCTGTTCCTCCACTGAAGCCACTTCCGGACCTTCAGCCTCGGCTGCGAGCGCCGCTGCGGAAGGGTATGGGGGTGTGTTGTCAGCATGGCCACCCCTCCACTCTTGCACCCTCACCCTCTGAGGGGAGGATCCCACAGATACCCTACTTCTAATTCTCCACCACAGGTGTCAACTCATTTCATCTCCCAACGCTAAGAGGTAGGTCTTACTATCGGTCCCATTTTACTGATGAGGAAAACCGAGGCAAAGAAAGGAAACGTCATAGCAGGGCAAGAGACAGAGCTGAAATCTGAAGCCAGATGGCCCTCAGTGGGACGGGCTGACACAATGGCTGCAGAGGCCATGAGCCTGGTGCAGGATCGGGCAGCGTTCTGCCCTGTGACCGAGTGGGAACTGACTGGACAGCATCACATAGCTCTAAACTGCAGCTGACCACTATGCAGAACTGCCTCTTAAAGAATCTGTTACAAAAGGACAGCACTTGCCCAAGGACAGAGCCCAGACAGCAGGAAGGGTTAGGAAAGGAGGAGGAATGGGAACAGGAAACACAGGGAGGAAGTGGGTGGAGTGGCGTCACGTTATAGGACTAGTGACCAATGTCCTGAAACAAGAGAAGCCCTGCTGGTGCAGCAGGCTAAGAGATGGACTGCCATCTGAAAAGCTGGTGGTTCGAACCCACAAGGGCGAGGCAGCCTTAGTCAGATTCCTTGAAGATTAAAGCCTCAGAAACAAAATGCGTCTGAACTGCTACCCCTCCCTGTAAACCTTCCTCCATTCACATTCACAGATGAAAAGCAAAGACTGTGTTCAGGCGTCTGATGCCCAAGAAGACTAGAGTGGCACAAATGGTTGGTGTGCTCATGGCTGCTGGTTTGATTCCACCCAGAGGTGGCTTGGAAGAAAGGCCTGGCAACTCTCTGGAGCCCAGTTCTACAGTGACATACACACAGCTGCCTTGAGTCGGAAGTACTCAGTGATGACTGGCCTGGGTTGAGCTCCCAGTAGGAGCTTAATAAATGCCCTGCTGCCTTTCTGCCAAGGAGAGGGGTTCAGCGAGCACATCCTTCCAGGGCTGGAAAGCAGGGGCTGCGGCTCCGGGGCCAGGCTGGTATGTGGAGAACACTGGGAGGCCCTATAAAGGGCAGGCTGTCTTTGGCCTAAATGTCCGGTTTTATTTTTTAAGAACCCAGGAATAGGCATTCCGAGGGAGCTCTGATGGCCCAGTGGTAAGAAGCTGCACTCCAATCCCAAAGGCACCCCGCTAAAATCCACCAGCTGCTCCGGGAGAAGGACGGACAATCTCCTCCTGCGTGACCAAGTGCCTCTGAAGACCCGCTGGAGGGTCAGCTGTGAGTCAGTTCCCACCCGATGGCACCCACCAACAACAGTGCAAAGTCTTACCAACCACCACCGAACCACCAAAGCTACTAGTCATCGAGTCGGTTTTGGTTCCTGGCGACCCATGTACTAACAGAGTGTCCTGTGTATCTGCAGGGTTTGCAAAGGTGGCGGTCTTTGCAAGCACATCTCCAGGCCTTTCTTCCGCGTGTCATTGCTGAGTCAGAACGGACTCATTGCTGACTCTTCAGGAGGTTTTCAGAGGCAGTAAATCTCACGGGAGGAGATTGCCCAGCTTTCTCCCATAGATAGCTGGTGGATTCGAACCACGTACCTTTGGGTTGGCAGTGCAGTTCCTTACCACTAAATCACCAGAACTCCTTAATCCCTGGAAAGGGACCTGGAATGTAATAGATGCCACTGGGGAGGTTATAACCAACAACTGTTTGGTTAGGAGCCCAGCACAGTGCAGAACCTAACACTGGGTAAAGGTGGGAAATGCATTTGAAACATTAGATACTGGTGGTGTTAGATGATGTGGACTCAGCCCGACTCACAGTGACCCCTTATACAGCTGAACAAAGAAGGAAGTACTGTCTGGGCCCGGCCCCCTCCTTACAATTGCTGTGTGCTCAAGCCTAGTTGTGTGGTTGTTGTTGTGTGCTGTCGTGTCAGAACCGACTCATAACTGACCCTCCAGCAGGTTTTCAGAGGCAGTAAATCAATCGCACAGGAGGAGATTGCCCGTCTTTCTCCTGTGCAGCAGCTAGTGGATTTGAACCATGTGCCTTCAGGTTGGCAGCGCAGCTCTTACCACTAGGCCACCAGAGCTCTCATGGTTAGGTGCCATCAAATCAATTTTCGGCCCACGGTGACCCAGGTGACAGGAGAACTGCCCCTTGGGGTTTTCTAGATAGTCTTTGTGGGAGCAGATTGCCAGCAGTCACTGAATGGGTTCAAACCAGTGACCTTTCGTTTAGAAGCCGAATGCTTCACTACTGGGCCACTGCGGTTCTTAAAGACATTGCACAGCCCCAAGAACACACTTTGGGGGGGTCGTCTGTTTGAGATTCCAGCCTTACAGGCCTCTCAGGGTGTGTGTGCTGGGGCAGGACCCCTGGGTGAGTCCCGCGCCTCTCTGATCGGTAACTGGAGGGTGAGGACTTGGGCAGGGGGGATTGGGGTCTTCACCGAGCTCATCCTCTGTCATGGGCAGGAAGTGGTCCACCAGCTCCTCGGACTTGCCCAGCACGACGTCCATGGCGTGGCTCACTGAACGCTTCAGCTCCACGCTCCAGCGACGGCTCTGCTTCGCCAGGTCCACCACCCCTGTCACACCGCTGGTCACTGCGTCCTTGGCTGAGGTCACCACCTGGAGGGAGGGTCCCTCACTCTTTGTTCACCTCGAATCTCAAGCCCCATTCCCCTACCACCGAACCCTATTTCCATGGGACTAGGAATCAGGAATCCACGGCCCCCTTTTCAGCTCTGGGTCTCATCCTCCCCTATAGGAAATGGGGAAGAGAAAAAAAAAACCCAAGAAACAAAACCCTGAAGAAAAGCTAAGAATGAAGAAGGATCTGGAATGTGCGGCTCACTGTCTCCATGACCGACTGCCGCCTCTACCACGTGACTAGAAGAACTGGACAGTGCCCAGCTGCTGTTACTGAACATTTTTACCAAAGATTCTATAGAAGAATGTAGATCAAAAGGGGGGGGGCGGAATGTAGAACAAGATGTCAAATTCTCACAAACTCACAGTTTCTGGTGCCATGACACCTGGATGAATCCCTAAAACTGACCGTGAGATCATCTTTACACTTTAAACCAAAAATATCCCCAGAAGTTTCTTTAAACCTAACAATGTTGTTGTTGTTGTTGTTATGTGCCGTCAAGTCACCTGTGACTCATAGCAATCCTATGTATAACATCCCTAAACCCTGCTCTATTGTGTGCCACTTTTATTGTCTCTGACACACCCACCCCCATTACCCCAATCACGGAATCAATCCGTCTCATCCAGGGTCTTCATCTCTTGCACTGTCCCTCTACCTTCCCAAGCATGACGTCCCTCCCCAAGGACTGGTCCCTCCTTGCATCATCCCCAAAGTATGTCAGACAAAGCTCCAGAATCCTTGCTTCCAAGGAGTAGCCTGGCTTCACCGGCTTCACCCTCTCCAAGATGAATTTGTTTGTTCTCCTAGTAGTCCAGGGTATATTCAATACTCTTCTCCAGCACCACAGCTCAAAGGCATCTACTCTCCTTCTATCATCCCTAGTCATTGTCCAGCTTTCTAATGCATAGCAAGTAGTTTAGCTTAATTAGTAAAGAATGCTTTTTAAAGAAATTATATATATGTGTATATATGTATAACATCAAATTGATAACAGTAATTGGAAAAGAACAATTAGAACGAGAGAGTGGGAATGGTCACACACCTTGAAGAATGTCACCTGTGTCTCCAAGCTGTAATTAGAGAATTATCAAATTGGTGTATGTTTCACTAAAAAGTCATTCTGGTTAACACTGAGAATGGGTGTCCCACAATACTGACCAGTGCTCACGCAGAAACTGTACATAGACTAAGAAGCAGCTGTCTGAACAGAGCATGAGAACAAGCAGAAAAAGTGTGCATCAGGGCTCCATCCTTTCTCTAAACCTATGCGATTTGTCTGCTGAGCAAATAATTCAAGAAGCCGGGCGATGTGAAGAAGGACGCGGCATGAGGATAGAGGAAGGCTCATCAATAACCTACATTCTGAAGATGACACGACTTTGCGGGCAGAAAGTGAAGACAACTTGATGTACTTCTGCGGATCAAAGACTACAGCCTTCCCTATGGGTTACATCTTAACGAGAAAGCAAACATCCTCACCGCGCGACCGACAGACAACAAGATAACAGCTGGAGAAAAGTTGAAATTGTCAACGATTTCACTTTACTTGGATCCAAACCCAACACCTACGGTAATAGCCAAGAAATCAAAGGACCTGTTGCATTAGGGGACTCTGCTGTCAAGGACCTCTCTAAAATTCCAAAGAGCAAGGATGTCAGTTTAAAAAGTAAGATGTGCTTGGTCCACGCCATGGTATTTCCAGTTACTTCTCAGGCATCTGAAAGTTGGACCATGAATAAAGATGACAGAAGAAGCATCAATGCCTTTGAATTGGGGTGTTGGTGAAGAGCACTGGATCCCATGGGCTGTCAAAATCTGACCTGAGGAAATGCAACCAGAGTCCTCATTGAGGCAGGGATGGGACACCTTGTCTCACGTGCTGTGGGCATGTTATCAGGAGGTGTAAGCCTTTGGAGAAGGACTTCCTGCTGAGAAGTGTAGAGGGTCACTGGAGGAGAGGAAGAGTCTCAAAGAGAGAGACAGAGTGAAAGCGGCTGGAGCGAGGGGAGTTCATGGGGCGGCACAGGTTCTAGGGGGACCCCATTCTGCTGCACATGGGGCTACTGCAGGTCAGCTGACCCCACAGCACCTAAAACCAACTGGGATGTGGTCAGTGCTCACAAATGTTGGCCCCTATGGGTCTAACACTTCTTTTTGAGTTAGCAATGCCTCTGTGTGCTGTAGGTCTGTCTACCCGGCCCAGGAAGTGGGGCCATGTCCCCCTCTACACACGGGGCCACCCCAGGGGTTCCCCATGATCTGGTCAATGGTACCATCTCCGAGGGCTGCTGGAGGAAGGGCAGCTTCTCCTCCAGCTTGTCCAGGCCCCTGCAGGCTAAGTCATTTACGGTGGCCACTGTGGGGAGAGAGGAAGGGATGAGGACAGGGGAGAGCCAGGCATGGGGACCCAGAGGGACAGACAAGGGCCAAGGGGCAAGGTTGGTGGAGACATAGAGAGACCATGAATGAGACAGGGGCTCACAGCATGAGACGGGAGAGGAGGGAAGGACAGGAGGTGGGCTGGCGAGACAGGACAGAGTGAGGGAGGGAGAACGAGATAAAGGACGACCAGATAAGGGAAAACAGGCAGGGAGATAGAAAGACAGAGAAAGATGCACAGACAGACAGGCAGGACTGCAGGGCTTACAAGCAAGGGCTGGCTTCTTCTGGGAGAGCTGAGATCCCTAGGGGTGTGGAGGGGCCCATGCTTGGCCTCCCCGCCTCCATCTTGGCCCTGTGGACCCTCGTGCCAAGGTGACACCGTGTCCAGCTCAGGTCCTGAGGAAGGGGTGGGGGGAGGCCCTGGGTTGGGACCCCCTGGAAGGAAGCCCCCTCCTTGGGTCAGATAAGATGTTGAGGGTCTTTGTGTCCCCATCCCCACCCCACCAGGCTTGGGTCCTGTGCTGAGCTGGAGGTGGGGGTCAGACAGGCCATTGAGGATGGACTGAGAGATGGACCCAAGGTATGTCTGCCCCTTCCTGAGGGAGCAGGACAGGGCAGAGGGAAAGCAAAACTAGGAGATGGGAGACAAGTGGAGGGGACAGAGGGGACAGGGATGGAGTGGAGGAGAGCACACAGTGGGTGTGGGATCGGGGACGGGCTGGTGAGAGGCATGAAGGGAGCTGGCGACTCACACTGGGGCTGCAAGTGGTGGAGCAGCGGCTGGGCGTGGTCCAGGGCGCAGGTGGCCAGGCCGCAGACGCAGTTCTCCGCCAGGCGGCAGGCGGCGCCCAGCAGCGGGTGCTTGTCCTTGGCTGCTCCGTAGACCCCGGAGACTGCAGTGCAGGTGGTCCTGACAAGGGGCAGGGCCACCACACGCTGTACCACGTTCTGCAGGGAGGGATGACATCAGAGACGGCCGAGCCTCGCTTGAGTCCGTCCCCGCGAAGGGCCAGGAGCAGGTGGGAGGGGCGAGGGGAGACACAGTCAGGGACAAGAGTATGAGGGCCTTAACTGCGTACAGGCAGGGAGCAGGGGGCGAGGGCCACAACCCAGTGCCAGCCTCTGGGCCTTACCCTCTCACCTGTGAGATGGGCCGCAAGTTCTAGTTCTGAAATAATTTAACTGTTGGAGGGAGGATGGGAAGAGCAAGAGTCCATTCTGGTTAAGCTACTTCTCAGCTCTGTGTGCTTGGCCAGGGATCAGCTTGCCCATCTGTAGAATGGGTTTCTAGGATTGTCCACGTCCCTGGCCATAGAGTTGATTCCAACTCAGAGCGACTTGACAGGGCAGAGTAGAGCTGCCCCTGAAGGTTTTCGAGGGCTAACTGAGCTCTGGTGGCATAGTGGACTAAGCATTGGGCTGCCAATCAGAAGGCCGCCAGTTTGAAACTACAAGAACGTGGCAGTGGATTAGTCTTGGAAATGTCTGGACAGTCCCACTCTGTCCTGACAGGCCTCTGTGAGTCGGCAGTGGGCTGATGTGTTTGTGTTTAAATCTCGACAGAAGCAGATTGCCAGGTCTTGCTTCCTCCCTTCAGCAGCTAGTGGGTTCACATCTCTGATTTTGTTAACAAGCAAGTGGGTGACCACCGGGCCATCAGGGATCTTTCTCTAGGACTGAGGACTGTAATAAGGATGAAATGTGATAGGCATGGAACACTTGGAGCAGACTGATCCCATGTACGTGCTGCCGTTGCTGACATAATTTATTATTTTATTATTGTTATTATTATTACTGCTGCTGCTGTTGTTGTTAAAGGTGCCTGGATAGTGAGTACAGAGATTCAGAGGTGGGAGTGGGAGAGAACTGGTCTGGTAAGTCAGATGAGAGTCCTCGGAGGGACCCTCTCCTCTTCGGGCCTCACTGCACCCCTCCAGGAAGTGGACAGGCTGTCTCATGGTGCTAAGCGAGCTGTGGGAGGGCCCTTGAATAAACCTGTCCAGAAAGTCCTGTCCCCTTGCCCTGCCCTAGGTCCCTGCATCCCTGGAGTGACAGCCCCTCACCTGTGGTTCCTGCTCCAACATCCTGTGTCCGGAGGCCTCAGCCGACTCCTCTTCAGACATGCCTGCTGGACAGGGTGCCCCCCTTGGGAGGCAGGGCAAAGTGAGGAGATGCCCACACCCCAGTCCTCCCTGATCCTGCCAAGGTCTCCAGTTCTGTATGGGTGGGCTCAGTGACTTGCAATAACAGGGCCTCAGTTTCCTCAGCTGTAAAATGGATTAATATAATATCCACCTCAGAAACAGTGAGACGGACCCACCATTGTCGCAGGAGGTACAGCAGGTGCCCACTAAAGAGCCCCTGGAAGGTGGGACAGGTGGCATTGCAGTGACACCGGCTGTAACAATCGGCTGAGCTCAGGAGCGGGTGCGAGGGTGCAGCAGGGCCGGACAGCAGCGTCTCGCTCCGCTGACTGTGGGGTGGAATCGTCCCCAGATCCTCTAACACCAGAGGGCGGGTTTCGGGCTCCAACTCTGCACACTCTCAGTTCCTGCTGTAGGTCTCCGGCCACTGGCCGTCACCTCTCTGGCCTCTATATTTTTCTGTAAAATTGGGCAGGTCCCTCCCTGCTGGCCCGGTCCGGGGACAGCAGCTGCACCAGGCAGAAGTGGTGGGGGTAGCTAAGGCATCCTAACAAGCACGTCCATTTGACAGACAGGGAAACTGAGGCACTCAGGGGGTCTGTCGTGGGCTCAAGGTCACCCAGCTAACCAGGTGAGAGCTCAGAGCGCGACCTCAGACTCTCTGCCGGCGGTTTCCCCCCATTCTCCCTGCCCCACCCGCGCCCTCCGAGCCCTGGTCTCCGCCCAACTGGGTCCTGCGTCGGCGCCAACTGGGCCAAGGGTCTCGGACACCTGCTCTGGTCACTGGTCACTCTGCGCCTCGCTCCAGGCTCCAGGCCCCTCTCTCGCCCGTCGAGGGTCTCCACGCAGGCCTGCAGGACGGCCCTAGCCACGACTCACCTGGGGCGCCAGAAGCCTCAGTTCTCAGGTGCCTCCGCGAACCCCAAGTCTCTGGTTCAAATCTCCGCCCCTCCTGACAGGCCAGGCAGCCTTATAGCGGCTCGGGGGCGTGGCCTCCTCGGGCATGACCAATGGTGAGGCGCAGCGTGGGGGCGTGTTCAGGGGGCGGGGCTTTGTAGGGGCGGGGTTTCAGGCTCCCCTCCTTGCTCCTTGGACTGTTGCCACAGCAACCCGAGGACGCTGGAGGCTCAAGGACTGCACAGCTTCTGTTCTGCCCAGGTTTGACCACCTGTGACCCGCTCTGCTGTGGAGATAATTGAGGGACATGATGGCTCCTGCCACTTCCTTAACTGACCTTGGGCTAGTTCCCCAATGCCTGCCTTCCTTTCTTTTTGAAAAAATCTACCACCTAACTATATGCAGAACAGAGTATCCGGGAGGCTGGGCTCTATGAGGAGAAATGTGGCATCAGGATTGAAGGTAGACTCATCCACAATCTGCATTATGCACATAACACATTCCTGCTCGCCGAAAACTGAGGAGGACCTGAAGCGCTTGCTGCAGAGGGTCAAGGACTGCAGCCTTCAATATGGCTTGAGGCTCAATGTCAAGAAGACAAAGATTCTCAGCACTGGACCAACTGGCAGCATCAGGATGGATGGTGAAGAGAATGAGATTGTTAACCGCTTCAGTTTGCTTGGCTCCACAACCAACACTTTTGGCACCAGTAGCCAGGAAATTAAAAGACATATTGCATTGGGAAAGTCTGCTGTCAGAGACCTCTCCAAAGTACTAAAGAGCAATGATGTCAGTCTGAAGACTAAGGTGCGCCTGATACAGCCATGGTCTTTACAATCACGTGTTATGCATCAGAAAGCTAGCTGTACAATTATTAAGGATAAAAAAATAATTATAAAAACCAAGTACTAGGGATGATAGAAGGAGAATTGATGCCTTTGAGTTGTGGTGTGGAGGAGAGTATTGAATATATATATCATGGATGCTAGGAGAGCAAACATGTTCGTCCTGGAGAGGGTGAAGCCAGAATGCTCTTTGGAGGCAAGGATTCTGAAGCTTTGTCTGACATACTTTGGACATGTTGCAAGGAGGGACCAGTCTTTGGAAAGGGATGTCATGCTTGGGAGGGTGGAGGGACAGCTCAGGAGAGGAAGACCCTCTATGAGGTGGATTGATTCAGTGACTGGGGTAATCGGGATAGGTGTATCAGAGACAATGAGATTGGCATAGAATAGAGCAGGTTTTAGGGCTGTTGTACATAGGGTCGCTGTGAGTCGCAAGTGATTCGATGGCACATAACAACAACAACCATCTAAGCCATCATCGTGACTTCATGTATTGTTGTTGTTGTTGTTGTTAATGTGCCGTCAAATCCCAGACCAAGGTCAAAAGGAGAAGGAAGGATTCAAGGAATATGAACATGTCAACAAAGGGAGTGAGCTACCATGGAGTGCCCCTCACTTCCCTTTCTAGAAGACCACCCACCTGGCTAAACCACAATGGAATATCCCTCCTTTCTCTCCCTAAAGACCCTTACTATAAAAACCTGCCCTAATTAATCTTTTTTCTCTTATTATTAATTTTAATGAAAATTTACAGAGACTTTGGATTTTCATTCATTCATAGTTGTAATCTTCTCCCTGCCCCCCCCACCCTAATTAATCCTAAAGTGTGATATTCCCTGGTCTGGCTCTCTGCCTGTCTCTTTCTTTGCAGATCAATAAATCCCCACCCCAGAGCTCCCTTAATAAAGCTTCTTTAGCTTCCTTTCTTTCTCTGGTCTTTTCCTTGAGTCCTTGGCCTTACGTCCAGTGCGAAGACCTAACAATGAGATTTTTCTTGGCTACCATTTTTACACAAGCAGATAGCCAGACCTTTCTTCTGAGGGGTTGATGGGTAAGTTCGAAACCCTAACCTTTAGGTCAGTAAACAGGCAAACCTAAACTCCACTGAAGAGAGCCCATCCCAACTCATGTTGTTGTTGGATGCCATCAAGGTGACTTCGTCTCCAGCCTTATCCTTACCATCTCTGAGTTGTTTGAGCCCATTGTGAGTCACTGTACTAAACTAGCTTGGTTTTGTGTGTGTGTGAAATGTCTATAACCTTGCTCTGTAGAGAGTGTAGAGAAAGGCTTCAAGACGTTTCAAAACTTATCTTGCAAAGCACTGAAGGAATGTGTAAGGCCACTCCAGACCTGAGCACCCTGGAGGCTTGCAATAAACTAACTTGTTGAGGGTCTTCTCTCTTCCTCTGACCTTCCACCTTTCCCAGCATGATGTCTTTTTTCCAAGGTCTGGGCCCTCCTGACCTCCTGACTTTGGATAAAGTATATGAGACGAAGTTTCACCATCCTTGCCTCTAAGAAGCACTCCAGCCACACTTGCTTCAAGACAGGCTTGGCTGTTCTTTTCACAGTCCATGGGGTGTTCTGTACTCTTCTCCAGCACCACAGGTCAAAGGTTATCCATTCTCCTGTCATCCTTAATCATTGTCCAACTTTCTCAGTGACGTAAGAGGCAATACAAAATACCATGACTTGGATCAGCCACACCTTAGTGTTTGCACTGACATCACTGCTCTTTAAAACTGTGAAGAAAAAGGTCCTTGATGGCAGATTTTCCCAATGCAACATGTCTTTGGATTTCTTGATTGCTGCTACCATAGCTGTTGATTGAGGACCCAAGTAACTTTATGAGGAGGAATGTGGCATCAGGATTGGAGGAAGACTCAACAACCTGCATTATACAGATGACACAACCTTGCTTCCTGAAACTAAAGAGGACATGGAGCACTTGCTGCAGAAGGTCAACGACTGTAGTCTTCAGTATGGATTGAAGCTCAATATCAAGAAACAAAGATTCTCAAAGGACCTCTGGTGGCCTAGTGACAAGAAGCTGCACTGCAATCCCAGAGGTATACGGTTTGAATCCACCAGATGCTCTGCTGGAGAAGGAGGGGCAATCTCCTCCTGTACCAGTCAGGT